TGCCATTTATCTTGGCATTTATATGGATGTATATATGACTTTGCAAGAGTTAGAATTAATCGGATTTATAAGGAACAGATCGTAAAATCTCTTCATTGACCATAGTTGAATAGTAATATAATTTTAGTAGTCCCAAATTAATAATACTTCAAGGAAGACCAAAAAAGTCAATAAAATTATCTATATCATTGCACCTTTCTACTTCCCCTCTTCTGTTTTTCCAAAGGTCTGACTTTGAGTACCTACTTGTATTGTCACACATCTGTCCTTGATAGAGTCATATAAAAACTTCAGTACAGGCTATCTGCCTCATTTATGATGTATCTTCAATGTTATTCCACAACCACTAGATCATCACTTTTGCTCTGCATTTCATATTTACCTGTGAAGATTTTAATCTGATTAGTGTGATTCTAAAAGGCCTGGGACACCCTTGGGAGGCAGCAAATGAGCAATGGAAACTATGAAAATATGAGACCAACCCAATGGTACCCAAAAGTGATAACTGAATTATAGGAGGAACATGGTTAGGGATGTCCCGATGCCATTTTTTCAAGGCCAAGTACAAGTACTTTCCTTCAGCTACTTACCGATACTTTTTCTTAATGGGACATGTGGCATTTTTTCTAAAACAATACCAACTAATGATTTTAGGGAAGTTTCTTTATAATTATGAAAAATTGTAACTCAATCCATGATTATTCAGCAATGGTGAATGGCAACCAGCAATAAAGGAATACAGATCCCATCAATCCATGATTATCCAGCAATGGAGAATGGCAACCAGCAATCATAGATTACTGGGATTTGCAGTCCTCTTATAGCCGGTTGCCATTCTTATTGATTATACAACAATGGAGAATGGCAACCGGCTATAGAGGACTACAAATCTCAGCAATCCATGATTATTCAGCAAAGGAGAATGGCAACCAGCAATAGAGGATGACAGAGCCCATCAATCCATGATTATACAACAATTATACCGGGCTGCTTTTTGGTCTTACTAGCGCTCCGTTTGGGTCTCACCAGGGCTCCGTTTGGGTCTCACCAGGGCTCCGTTTGGGTCTCACCAGGGCTGCTTTTGGGTCTCACCGGGGCTGTGTGTGATCTTACCAGGGCTGCGCGCAGATCTCACTAGGGCTGTGTGCAGATTTTACCAGGGCTGCAATTGGGTCTCACCAGGGCTGTGTTTGGGTCTCACTAAAGCTGTGTTTGGGTCTCACTAAAGCTGAATGCAGATCTCCCCAGGGCTGTGCTTAGGTCTCACCAGGGCTACATGCAGATCTCACCAGGGCTGAGCTTGGGTCTCTCCAGGGCTGTGTGCAGATCTCACCCAAATTTGGTGCCAAACCCTGACCCTTGAGCTAAGCTCCTCCTGTCCAGTGTCCTCCTGTGCACTGAGAGCTGCCTGGGTCAATAAAGATACTCTCATAAAACAGGGGGATGTCATGTAGGCTAGGATTTTGTACAGGGGAATCAATTAACACACAAGTTGTGGAAGTTAAGCACTTGGTAAAAACTGGTTTAGCAGGGTGGAGAGAGGTGATGTTACTGTCTTACAAATATAATAGATGCCACTTTGTGATGTCTGTTCTTTACTTTTGAAATGGCGACATGTATACTTTAAACTTATTGTTCTTTATTAATAAGGTCACTTCCCTTTTAAAAGAAGTAGAGAAGCCACTGTATATGCATCTAAAATACATGTACTACACTTGACATGCATTTCAGATGCTTTCCATTGACAGCAATTGAATGAAAAATTCGTGTAGAACGTGCTTGAATAAGACAAGCCGCCTTTCTAAAATCAAACCCAACCTGAAAGCAAAAAAGCTCTATTGTGAGCTGTCCTATTAGACTGTGTTGATGTTAACAAGATAGTGTTTAATGCACGTCAAATTTGTGTTTCAAATACATTTCAAATAAGATGAATAAACCTGTACACAAGCCCTAAAGGCCCATTCACACCTAGCCTTTTTAATATATGTCAACGACACACACACATCATTGTTGATAGCACACATAATAGCACAGGAAAACGCACATGCAATGCTGTAAATGAAGCCTTGAGGGCTTTTTTCCGGCCCACAGCCGCGCTTAACTGAACAGCTGCTGGTGTGCATGTGTCTGGACAGGGCCGATGCGCTCAAGCTGCATCACACTGTTTCTTTTATTTTGCTAGAACTTTATTGAAATGTCACAAATGCAATGTGGTTGTACTGTGTCTGACTTAAAAAAAAGTACTACGTTCTGTAACTGTATAAACACGAAACCAGAATATGCAGTGGTGTGAACTGTCCCCACCCATGACAAGGCAAATTGCCTTGTCTTGCATTTGGGCTTCGATGGAAAAAACGGCCAGTGCAGCCCAAATCCAAATGGTGTGCATGAGCCCATAAGGCAGAAAGAACCTTCACCCAGTACAAGGAGGCTGAACCAAGAAGTTGACCAAAAATACTTTATCGCATGCCATAAAGAAAAATTACCAGTCTTTAGAGACACGTCAAGCAAGAAAAAGTGTTATAAAGATAGCTATAAAACACATGACAGAAAGATCTACCATATAAGATAATGATGCAAAACACAGATTATTATTGTATCATTATTGCCTAATTACTACAAGGGCAAGCACACCTGGTTGCAAAGCAGTGAGTCAATGGTAGTACTTTCCTTCACACTTCAAACTTTATCACTCCCTCTTGGGGAAGTAAAAAAAAAAAATGACAGCTGCGATTGTCACATGACCTTCAAATGTCTAGCGATATATATGCTTTCTTTGTGAGAGAATGAAATTGTTAATCACTACCCAATTAACACCTTGCAACCACACATTTAGATCTTATCTTGGCCTAAGCTCTGCATTTTAAGCATCACAAAGCTGAGTATATAAGAGACAAACCATTTTGTCCCCAATTCAATTGTTTACTTCCTTCATTGTGTATAAAAATGCGACACACACAAAATAAATACTTGATAGCTCAAATATACACCAACAAGCATAACATAGTATATAATAAAACAAACCCAGCAATATCTAATATATAATGCTGAAGTTCATCTGTGCCCTGAATATTACAGTTTATTATATATTCTGCACAAGTAGGGTGGGGCAAATCTGCCTCTGTTTGATTGAAGGGAGTTCATCAAGTCCTGTTTGAAAATTGTAAGACCCAAACTAAGCACTGAATCCAACTGAAGTTTATGAGGGCAAAGACTAGACAGGCAAGCTATTTTTCAAAAAGGATACGGGGATCCGGGCACTGCCATTGGGTATGTTTAAGAAAGCAAAAATATAAAATACAAAAATACAGTACAGGGTCTTCCTTTTAATATGACTTTGAGGGTGACATGGGATAAAAATTATCTTTAGTCATAGCCATATTGAAGAATTACTCATGAGGGTGCTGGGTGGAGAGCTCTGACTCTGCAGCTTTTGGTAAATCTGTTACAAAATTCAAATGAAAGGAGCTGATATTGTCCATCTGTGAATTTTCTGCAATGACAGCATGAATTAAAAAAATTAGGTTATTGTTAATACATGGCTGTGCATGCATATATGGAGGCCCAAGCCTACTGAAGCAACTAGATGTCTGTGGCACAATATAGAACAATTCCTAATTAAAGTAAACCTGTTGTTGGAGTCAGCCACTACTGACCTCCTTCAGAAAATGCTAGTTGCTTGACTAATTCTCTGGTCACTGAACCAGAAAAAGTATGTATATTTCTATACAGTAGAGTACTTACAATGGAACTTAGTATTGTAGCTAGCAGATCAGCATGACAACAAGGCAGTTTGCACGGTCAGCATGGTCAGAAGGAGGTTGGCAATGGTGCCTTTTCCTATGTACAGGTTGTGTTAAGGTTGTCCACGTCACTGGACCAAAGAGCATGTAAACATTTTGAAGGACTGTATGGGAACACATTGATGATGATTGTAACAGGTTTTATTAAAAAATAATAATCTGCATACATTCCTTAAGGAGTCATTGGGTTTTTTTCATAGTCATAGCTGTTGTTTTTCTTAAAAAACACTTGGGATTTGTTCTGCAGCCTACACGCATACGGTAGTTGGGGGAGGCATTATTTAAAATGGCACTAAACTCAGGGGTTAAATCTTTAAAATACATTCAAGTACCCTAACTATTAACAAAATGTATCTTATTTGTGTATCACTCGGCTGTAGATCCTCAAATCATCTCTGAATTCATCCCGACACTGTCTTTCCTTCTGGAGGGTGGCTACTTTTGTTCCCCATGGTCCTTTGGCAGGATCTGTGGATGGAGAATGGGACTTGTAGTTCTTCATGGATTGATGTCAATGCACTTGTAGTCCATTCATTCACCAAGAAAAGGACATGGACATGGAAGAGTCTTCAGGATCCAGAGCATTGCACCCATGATCCACTGATTACGGTTGCAATGCTTTACTGGCTCTAAAGCAAAAAAAAATCATAATAATAAATGCACATTTTTTTTTCTTTTATGAAGAAGTGTGCACTTATTAACTTTTTTCTAAATGGAGGAATTTCCTTTTAACGTTCCTTCTGTAATCAAATCAAATTTTTGGCTACACAACTAGAAGATGTTTTCACTACTATAGATAATACATTCTTAAATATTTCAAATATTCTTTACTTTATAATGACATTACTCGTATTATTGTATGTAGAATTATGGTGAAAAGTTTTTTTTGTTACATATGAATACAAAGTAATTTACATTTTGATAGAAAGGTGTTAATGCAGGACCTTTTCAATTAATCAAAGAGCAAATTACAGTGTACAGTAATCCATAGCACCTGATCAGAACTGGAATTGATTTATCTGATAGTATTAAACTTAAATGGGATTGGTTAATATGGATTACCGTTTTTTTGCACATCTTTATTGTTCTCTGCACTGTTTTACTGAATATGCATATGTATCTAATGTGTAGTATTACTATATTATATAATAAGTGATTTTAGGTTTAAGTAAATAGTATTTTTTTTTTCCCCTGCAGGTCTGTATCTTATTGGTGGCATCGGATTCAGTCTCTTCTGTACTGTAGTGCCTCTCTTGTGCCGGGGACATTTCTAGAGGCCTCCCACAGTTGTACCTGCACTTTCCAGCATCCCAACTGCCAGGCAAACATACCTTGCATACAAGGACCAGGTCCCTTGTGTTCCCTCTGTTCAACAGTACTTCATGCCCAGTGTGCCAGCTGCAACCCTGGATACACTCTCTCAGCTCAAGGCCTGTGTGTGCCTTCAGTGCCTGAGTCCTCAGAACCTTTCCTTGGGACAGAAGGTAGCCTTCAGGACTTGGAGGTGAAATACTTGCTCCTAAAGCAGGATGGACGCTTGAGAGCTCCAGCGTTCTTTATTTCTGGTGATCTACGACTTGGCATGTGGTTTCAGATGGGAGGCAGGAAGCGTATGCTGCTGACATGCAAGAGCAACAAGCACTGGCCAAGGCAGTTGCATATGCTTCTAGGACTTTCAATGCGCCTCTGTCTTGCTGGGAATGGGACCAGAGATCCACAAGTAACAGTGTATGTTAACCCCTTTGGAGGGAGCCACTCAGAAAGCTGGTTGTTGCCCGCTGGGGAACAAGGTTATCCAAGTTGGGAGAAAACTTGGGACATGGAAGGAGGAGACCGCTGCCAGAACTGGACTTTGATATTAGGTCATCGGTGGCGGTCATTTTTTGAGACTGTACATTTTTACATGAGAAGCAATCCTCTTGAAGAAGAAGGAGAGGAAGATTCAGCAGAATGGACTGACAAACAGACTTTGGATGACAAATTGGGAGACCCTGAGTATGTCCGTATTGATGGTCTTCATGCTTTTGGTTATAGCGTGCCCTTTGATCCAGAGGCAATCAGGGGCTTAGCTCAAAAGCTTGAACAGCCTGGATCCAGAGAAGGAGCACTCATGGAAATGCAAGAGTTGAGGAAACGAGTAAATTTCCTTTCCCCACCTGGTGCCCGTAAGTTGGATCTGTTTAACTGCTTACTACGACACCGGCTGAAAATGAGCAGCAATGAGGTGGGAAGAATACAAGCCCAGCTTTCTGTATTCAGCAGTCAGCTTCCTAATGGCTCCACGTACGAGACAACGAAGCTCTGCAGCTAGAAGTTCCTACCAGTTCATTCTTAAGCTTCTTTGATACATAACAAAGGCCTAATCAGGCTTGAGAATCATGTACAGTGTCTTCCTTTTGTGAAGTCTGTTCTTACCACTTCAGTAGTCCTTGGCTGTGCGCTATCTTTGTACTGGAGCGGCAGAATCCCAAAATGGTTACATTTGCCAAACAAAAGGATGCAATGAAAAAATGTTATATGTTATTATAGTCAATGCTTTCTAAATTTAATTGTGCAACCTGAATGATGTGCAAGTGCAACCTTCAGTGACATGTTAATGAATGTCATTGTTTATGCAGTCTCTTCTGGCAAGCCAAGAGTGCCCAAGCTGGAGACAAAGCTGTGAATTCCAAAGAGCCACAGGAACTCTAAAAGACATCGCAGCTTAAGCCATATTAAGAGGAACCTCCAACAAGCACCACGTTTCCTTGTCTTTTAATATGGAAGGACAGTTGAAGATTTGGCCGTATAATGCGTCAAAATGAGCCAAGGGGGGGAAAAAACATAAATAGAGAAAAATAAACATGTAGAAACAGGATTATTTTACAGTGTCAAAATTAAATGTATATGGGCGTTTGAAATTCTATAGAACTGGGTATTTATCTGTTTTACCGTTAGTTTAACCTAACAGTATACCTATCCAACTATCTCCTAAAGCCTTATTATTGTTACCAGTAACACATGCGAGGGTGCGTGTCATTTGGTACAAAGGGGGTTAACGGAGCTTGTAAAAGGTCGTAATTTTGAATTTGCAAAAACTGGCAAAAAAGCACAAGACAAAAAAAAATAATAATAATAATACAAGACTTTCCAGTGACCAGTGTGTGTTGATGTTTTGAATAAGTACACATTCAGCGTGTGTCTGTGGACACAGGGTTTAGTGCGTGTTTACAAATACCCAGGTCTTTTGTGTGTATGGGCTTAATACAACACGAGAAGGCAGCCTTCTAGTCCCCGATGCAATTTAGTAATATTTAATCTGTATGTAGACCTGGTAATGAATGCAGAGCTGTACCAGGGAAGCAGTCTCATTGAGCGACTGTCTTGAGAATAAAGCCTATGTTGAAATAAGTGTCCGTAAGCCTAACAGAGATAATATGGCTTCTTCAAGGTCAGACAAGCTGGTATTGGCATATAGTAAATACTTTCTATTAATGGACACAGGTTGAACTAATTATGCACTGTTGAGCATGACAAAAGATTATTGGTTATTTTCTAAGCCGTTCGGCAGAAAAGCTCCCATTTCTTTCTATGTGCCATAAGGTGATTTATAACCTACCTGTGGCCATGTGTTTTCGGATATTTGTATCTCAAAGAGGGCTTAATAAAGACTAGAAAGCTTTGTAGACCTTTATGTATTACAGAATCAATTTACCTACTTCTCTTTTTGAATCTTCTTGATCATTGGCCTTTATTTAAACACAACACCCCGATTGGTACAATTTTATTCTCTTCCCAGATACTTTTATATTTCTTTTCAGATACTTTCCAAAATGTTTCTCTGTTTTGTGGTGAGCAACTCCGCCCAAATGGGTTTACATTCTGGTTAGAGTAGGGGAGGGCTTGAACCTCTGCTGGCCCGGACACCCTGTCAATACCTTATGCCCATCTATTACAGGTGCAACGTTTATATCTTTCCAAAGACCTGTGAATTCAGCAGTGAGGACCCATTTGAGTAGGTTTGCTCTTTTAAAGAGGCATCCAGTAATTGCCAAAAGTTCTTGGACCAGCTTCCTCTGCTTTCAATAGAATAAAAAATATGGGCGTGCATACCTACCACAAACACACACACAAACATTACCGCTTTCCATATTTATGATTTGGAGTCGATCCTTGCCAATAAAAGAGGAGCTTCATGGACCTTTGGTCTATCTGCATGAACATCATGCTATCCCAGGTTTTCTGTAGAAGAGGTTAGCTGGGAGCCCATCATATGTATTTTATGTATGGGTGCAATGTTGGGTCAGGTTGGAAATTGCTCATTTTTTTCTGATGTTGGGATGTTGTAGTCTAGAAAATTGTGGACCTCTTCTAGTTTTGAGCATCACTGTTGACCCAACCAACTGTAATTACATCCTTGTAAATAAGACTCTTTGTAAATAAATCTTAGGCAGAAAATACAGCAGATCCGATTTTATGTCAGCACTTATACATTAAGATACAAACAATTTGCTGCTAATTGGAAAAGACTAAATCAGCAATATATCAGACTCTAAAATTGGGCATTTAATCAACTAACTAGGCCCTGGTAATATCATGTGAATTATTAAAATGGATATCAACCTGAGCGCTAAAATCACATACAAGCTTTAAAAATGTTAAACTAGCTTCAGAAGGTATTTGCATAATAATAATAATACACATTGATCCTGCCATGAAGGTCCTTGTTCAGGCACTTCACATAATAGGATGACAATGCTCTGTCCTCTTAACTATGCTCCTGCATTGTCACCCTGTCACACAAAAGACTACATTGAGACCACAAGTAGCCATTTTACCACACATTATACAGGCATCATCAACTGCTGTCACCAATAGCAAACCCACCCTCAGAAATGCCATATAGCTATCGCTGGAATATACGTAGACAAGAAGTGGCTATGAAGAGACTGCAGGAAATCAGCTGCACTTTGATGTAAAAAATGATCAAAAAAGGTTAAAAAAAAGTATTTTATTAAAACACAAAGTTACAAATGTTTATGATACACTTTTGCTTTAGCAAACTGAATGACATTCAGTTGAGGTTTAGATATACAGTAATTTAAAAGGGCATATTTATAAAGCTCCCAATCTGATGTGTGCCAAATAAGCAGTGCAGGTGTATCTTTTAGGTGCATGTGTTTTAAATTACCTGATTGATTTACCACCAGTGAATGTTTGGTGAAAATCACACCAACTGCTTTATAAATATGCCCCGAAGTGAACTTTTTGGTCATAATTTATGTAACTATGTAAGGCTTTTTCGGCAATAAAAGTTGATAGTCATTTCCATTAAGGAAATCAGATTTGTTATGTTTTATACTCTGTGCAATGCTGTGTCACCTCTACAAGGTTTCTGCATCACTCCCTGGCTCATCACTGGAAGCCTGGCTAGACAAGATAGGTGACCTAGTGTGTGGATGAACAACTTAACATCTGTTGCAGTAATACAGATATAAATAACAGCAAAAACAACAAAACAGGTAAGTGTGCATAGCAGGTTTGTTTTTTTACCTGCAAGTCCTGAGTGTACCATGCTGAGACAATAGCCCAAAATAATCAAACAAACAATTCACATTCTATACTATGGGCCATCGTGGATTTATAGATTAAGGGATGATGCTAGGAGCAACTGATATTAAACACAGGATTTATTTCTTCTTTAAAAGAGACATAGAGAAAAAGACAATTCATGATTGGTTTCATACACTTTATCAGAGGATTCTTATTATTATCTTAATAGTGGAGCCAAACGCCAACAGAGGAGGCACTAATCAGTAGCAGCTCACCACTGCTTTATAGCTTATCTGCGGGGAAAACAAAAAACTCCCCTTGCACTGGGGCTCCCTCTGTCCTGCAAATGTTTAAATGCTCATTTTTGCCTAGGGTACCTGCAGGCTCACTTCACACTGCAAGACCAGCAGTCTCCAGCCTCTCTTCCTACATCCTGCAGCAGTTGGCGGCACTCTGATATCATTGGATAACATTTAGGGCCATTGAACCACCCATCAAGCCAGAGCACAAAGATTTGAGAGATGGCTGCTGGTAGAATGGGGGATCATGTAAATAAAAGTCCTTGTTACCAGTCACTGTGGGAGTAGCCCAATTACTAGGAGAGTTTTTTTAGTTTTTTTAAGTATTAAATGCAGCATAGAATTTGTTGAAATAAAACTCTAACATGTAAAAAGTGGTTGATGCTGGAAGACTTCTCTCTGTCAGTCACTCTGAATGCTGGGCTGAACAGGTAGCAGATAGCTTTGTAACACCTAGTAGCTGTCACTGACTGTGCTGCCACTCTAACTGAGGTCTGAATGGAGGGATATTACCACTTAGGACCAAGCTATAATGTTTGTTCCCCCAGCCCTTTCTTGTTTAAGTGACAACCTGTATTGACTAAATTCAGTAATTAAAGATGCAAACTATCACGTACCCGGTGAGAGACCGATAGTTGAGGAGGCTTCTCTTACTTCTCGTGTCCAACACTCCCCGGAGGTGCGAACAGGGTGTGAAAGGACAGCAAGGAACACTAGGTGGGATCAGGCACAGATGCAGGAAAGTCCAGGAGCAGATCAGCCAATTCAGGAAGCAGGAACGGAGTCAAAGATAGCCGAGGATCAGAGCCAGCCGGGCAACAAGGTACAAAATTGTGAGGCAATAAACAAGTCCAGGATACAGGCTGAGGACAGGAGCAGGCAGCAATCAAGAGGAGTCCAAACAATCCGAGTCACAGCCAAAGTCTTCAACAGGATCACAGGCACAGTTAACAAACACACACAGCTGAAAGACCATCAGCACAGTGAGCAGGGCAGGCTCATTTAAATAGGTTATTTCCTTAATGCTTGTTGTGTCACTTGCTGTGCGCCTGCCGTGTGTGCGTATTTCTGATTGTGCGCACATGTGCACCACAGCATATTTCCATCCAGTTCTATAGGGACGTTTGTGTGCATGCGTGGCTGTCGTCTTTACCTTATACAAGCTTTCAAAGCGCACAATATTTTTCTTTGAGCTTTATACAATTTTAAAAATGGTTCTGAAAACCACATATTTATATATAGAACAAAGAGAAACAATTAAATACAACCATGGTGCATGGCACACATGAGTGCTAATGGCTATTGCAAAACTTTAGGATATATAGATAATGATCAAAGCTTAGGTGTGTAATAACACATGTTTAAAAGATAAAAGTCCAGGCTTTTCCATATACCATAAACATTAGAATTCAGTCTCTCGCTAAGATAAAATTATTGGTCACAGATACTGCGCATCTAGTTCACAAGTGATAATGAAATCTGCCAGCACAGAAACAAAACTCCCCTCGACTGAGACAATGAAAACTAAACAGGATTTTTTTAGTCCGGGAGTTTGCACAAACATCATTGCAAAAAGGTGAGGTGCTATTGTTAAATATTTTTTTAAGTTAAAGTTGTGAATGAGAACATGCAACATATGTAAAGTAGGTGTTATTCCAATTGGCTGCAAAAGTGGAAATACACTTTAAAAACTGCACAGTTACTAATTAAGCTCTCATTCATTTTCTGTTCCTACAGCGGAATAAACTCTAAATACAGCCCTGGGTTTGGATTGACAGAAAGCCCTGTAAAATGCCGGGAAGTATCTATTTCCTATGATCCCGGCAAACACTGCCTGTCAAAACTACTGATTACAGGGTTGCACATAATTTCAGTTTCTAAGTTATTTGAATAAAACATTGTTATATGATGAAAACACCTGGTGTTGCTCAGATACTTGTTACACAAAGAAAGTGAGCCCATATGAGCCAAAAAGCAAATACC